AGCTCTTGAAATGAAAATGGGACATTTTTTTGGTTTTCAATATCTTCATGCTCTCCGCTATAATTCTGAATATGTATAGGTAATCGCATGGGGCCGAGTAAAATTAAGGATTAATATTACGCGTGTTTTCGGAAATTGCTGAAATTTCCCGAGTCGCGCAGCGACGAGAGCAATTTCTGCAACTTCCGAAAACACAATTAATCCTTAAATTTACGAGGAACCATGTGATTACTTGTTTATGATATAAGGGGAAAACTGTTTTCTTACTGATCTCGCGCAAAACGGGACGCCATTGTTACAAAACAAACAGAAATTTCTTTACCTTGGCAGCCGTTGCTAAGCATTTTTCAGCGAATCATTTTCAAGTAATTTTGCCCGGGGCAACTACAAAAATTGAGAAAAAATACCCTCTGTCTTGACCAATCAAAATTCAGTAATTTTGCCCCTTATATGCTAACATTTTGTTAAGGCTCTCTGATGTTTCTGTCGCTCTTTAAAATACTTTTCAGACTTTGTAATTCAATTGTCGCACTTACCTGTCGATACCTGTCGCACATATTATTACATATATTACTTATTTAAAATTTTTTAATTTAAATCTTATCTTTGTATTTATTTTCCTTTAAATGCATTGTTTGAGTTAATTTGACTGATACTAATATTTATATATGATGATTTTTTAAGACATTAGGGACTAGCCACTAGGGTTTTTTTTTTTATCATTTTGTATTAGTTTTTCTTTTTTTTGAGGTACATATGTAAATTCTAAACATGTTAGCTGGCCACGTCCTAGACGCCCAGCTTTCGTGTATATAGGTTCTGGCATTCAGACGTTTTAACTGCCATAATAATAATTATGGCATTTATATAGCGCCATATACACTAACTGCCCTATGGCGCTTCCCAATTCTACATTAAATTATAAATAATATTTCTTAAAGAGAAAAGTCTTTAATTTACATTTAAAAAGAGTGATCGATCCGCTATTCCTTATATGTCAAGGGGTAGGGCATTCTAGAGCTTTGGTGCTGCAACTGAAAAGGACCTGTCCCCATAGGTCTTTTGATTGGATCTTGGAATTGGATATTTGATGACCATTATTATATATTGCTAAAATTATCATGAGACAGAAAAATCAAACTTTTTTCCAGATCTTTAAAATGCTAAATATTGTCGAACAAAGCCACGAAATGAGCTTTCGCTTTGAAATCATTATTTTCCCAATCAATTTTTTTTTCCAAAAGTACAACTAAAGAAGACAAATCCAATTTCGCGAGAAGCAGAAGGAGATCGCATCTAATTCTTTAAAAGCCATAGAAAAGCTTTTTGTTTGTTTTTTTTTTTTTATCTGATAAAATTACTCAGATAAGTTGGACCCGTTTTTTGAAATGGATATTCCCGACCAAATAACTCTGAATTGTTTCGACACCCAATTAATCGTATTGACAAAACCAACACCATCACAGTGGTTGGTCAAAGGGTCTTAGACATCCTGATGGGTAATATTTTTTTGCAAACCGAGAGTTAGGGCCGCACTGAGGGGTTTTTTTACTTCGAGTTCGAAATAGGCCTTGTTTCTAGTATGGTGATCCATGACAAGTACTCGCCATTCTTTCGCACAACAACCTCTCATCATCAGTACAAAGGTGTGGCCTTCAATGTCAATGGCGCACCACCCAACGTGCTCGACAACAGGCTTGTGAGTGTGGGCCTACGGTGACATTATCCGTTTGTTCGAATTTGATTCAAAACGTTTGAAAGCGCATGCTCAAGCATTAACTTACATTTGAAGTACACAGATCATATATAGCACAATCAAATGCCGGCTGAGAGACCTGTCGGTCGGAAGGGGGGGGGGGGTGTTCGGAAGATTTTGATTGTGTCACGATAAAATTTACCCAATCCACCCATAAGGCTTTGTTATATTCTTGTGACAACCCCCCCCCCTTTACCATGGGCAGTTCATTGTCTTTAGTCCCACTCTCTCTTTATACTCTGTTGGCGACAACCGATCCCCCTTCGCTTCCCTTGAAAACCCCGTAATCCACCCGCCCCCTTCCCCTAACCTGTCATCTAAATTTCTCACAATATGATATCAGTCTTGAGGGTATAACGTTTACGTTTATTTGTCAACAGTTTCGTCATGAAGTTCCGGGCCACAATATCGCTGAATTCGCGAGTACAACAAATGGATCTGGTTGTAATGATAACCGTTATGTATATCTTGATTATTTGTGAAGGTAAGTTCCTTATATCTGCTATTTTTGTCCCTTTGACCGAAGTTGTGTTTGATTCGACAACGAGCATGTAATGGTTATGGTACTGGTGCGTGAGCATTGATAAGGACTGTCTTCTTGTTGATAACACACACTTTGATTCTTCATGCATCATGACACATGACACATAACACATTTGTTTTCAAGAACATCGGAAATCCGTCTACGGAAATTACGATCAATATTTCACACGTAGTTAAGTAAGTAAAGGTAGAAAAGATTTGAGGGTCAAAAACTGACTTTTATCGAGGAATACCTTTTTTCGATTTTTCGAATTCCCCTTAATTTAGACAATGGTTTCACGCAATGTCGAGTGTTTTTATCGTTGCAACATCACAGAAAACTTACGATCCATGTAACTGAACTGAACAATTGGGATGAGCCAAACGATAGAGATGAAAATAAACATGATAGAAATATAAAAAAGTAAAACAGTTTCAGTTTGTTATGAGAATTGAAATAGTAAGACTTTTTTTCTAGTTAAATGCATTGGATTTAAAAAATCTAGCTCAAAATCCTTCACGGAAAGTGGACTCGTTCATCATTGCTATGATAAAAAGCGGTTGAGTGAGATCTTAATTAGTTAACAGCCTGGTATAACAGCTTGCAGCCAAAATTCACAAAACAGTCACTAAATTGAACTACGCTCACAAAATACACCTGCCTTGAAATGACAAGACAGACAGTATGTTGGCTCATTCATTAGGGTCAACTGGCATATCAAGCACTTGAACCTTAGGTGCCAAAAGAGATACAGCAACTGCAAGTGACTTGGAACCTTCGGATTCAACTCTAAAGTCACAATCAAATCGTCAGTTTTTTTTATCTGATAAAATTACTTAACACGTTGGACCCGTTTTTTGAAAGGAATGTTCTCGACCAAGTAATCCTGAATTGTTTCGACACCCAATTCAATCACTTTGACAAAACTAACACCGACACAGTAGTTGGTCAAAAGATTTTAGACATCGTGATCATAATGGGTAATAATTTCCTGCAAACCAAGAGTTAGGGCCGTACTGAGGATTTTTTTGGCTCGAGGTCGTGGCTGTCTGGACTAGCACAACAAGGTCCTATATAAAATCGACTGAGGGTCGATATTCGCCATTAAGCCTAAGCAAGCGAGGTTTGCAAGAAGTTCATTATACACAAGGACTAAAACAACTTGTTTATTTTAGATTGCCAGCTTTCCGAACAAAAATATACGGCTTATGACCGGTCTATATGTCAAAATACCGGCCAAGTTAGAACCCATCAGAACGCTCGAATTTACCTTAAGACTACCATACCATAAAATAAATTGAATTATTCATACTTGAAAGGTGCTAAGCTGAGTCATGATATACCCTGATTAAAAAGACTAGAAAATAAAAACAAAAACCATTGTAAGGAGCATGATATTAAACTGATTTTTCCTTGAACAATGGGATTTATAATTTGGGAACATTTGCATTACTTCATAGTTGTTACAGGTGTTTCAATGATTAAGATAAATTTTTTAAGAGTAAATCCGCTTCTCGAAAGCCTTACAGCGTTACAATGCTCGTTTTATTCAACTTTAGCTAGTCTTGCTGATGAAACATGACTAAAAATGAATCACGGGTTCTCCGCGTAGAAAATCTGCCTTAAAGTGATGACGATGCTATTAGGTTTGGTCAGAACAAGTATTGTCCAAGGTGCAGTGACTCCTCATATTTCAGTCTTACTTTGTTTGTTACTTTGTCTCTTTAATAAATTTGCATTGCCATTCCTCAAGTAACTTGTAACCTTAAGCTGACTCTTAGCTACGCTTAAAGAGCTGATGACTCCCAAAGGAAACCTGATTCGGATTCCACTGAGTTCTTCTTACTCCAGAAAACATACATGTAAAATATTATGCACGGCTGTCTGATTGCAGGCGGCTATTTTCTGACGTCATAGACCCAAAATGAATGGTACAAAGTTATCTTACTTTTTATTCATGTTACTTAAAAGCATTCCAACCTTTTCCAATTCACGTCGAAAATCGTAAAAAAAAAAAAAACTGCTAAACTAGATTGATTCTAGCAATGTAATGTTCTTCAAATCATCCTCGAAATTGAAGAAATTCCAACTCTCCTACACGAGTATCTTTTTCTCAGGAATGCACCAAGGATGTTCTGAAGGTGTAAACCATGCGCTAACTTCAAGCTTTAACAGTTCTCCTATCTCAATATCGCAAGAATCAGAGTGGAACTTGTCCACAGTGACGGCCAGTGCGGACTTGCTTGCCTAAGATCCACTTTATGTTTTTCTTATAACCTGGCTGCAGTTCCTGATGTCAACGGAGAACTGTCGTGTGAAGTGCTTCCTTCGGACAAGAATAACAACACGGCTAAATTCCATTCCAGTCTAAGTTACCATCACTTTAGCATTTCGCTAAGTAAAAATATGCCGATCTTAGTTATGATCGAAGTTTTGAATAAGTAAGACTGGTAATTGTCATGAAAACAGAAACACTTTTTTTAATTTATCAAAATCGTTTATCATCTTGTTTTTGAACTAAAGAAGCACAAAAATCAAACTCTTTGATCAGTTTTATTTAACTCTGCCAATAACCTGAGGTGCATCATACATGATTCAAACATAATCAAGCGAAACGATATTGAGATAAGGTTGTTCCCACGATACCACAGCATGTCAATGTTCCATCAACAGAGTCCATGCTCCAGCAATCCTTGTTTGAACTAAGCTAATGCAACTTGTATGACCAAGTACAGAGATGACGAATATGAGTGCATACGCTCCACAGTGTCTATGGGAAAGCACTGCGAAATAGGTATCCTGTTGAAAATTATATGATTTGGTTTCAACCTACAGAGTAAAAAAAAAAAATGAAAAGTACGTCTGAAGGAAAACGGTATTCCCGCCCGAAGGATTGAGTGAATTCTATAGTCTGTACGTGTTTGTGTATCTCTTCTCCAACTTATGTTTGATCATGGACGTTAGCAAGTTTTTTTTTAACTTTCAAACAAATTGGGGTGAGGGAAGGGGGAAGGGCAGGGAATTATGAGAGACAAAAGGATTTATGAACGGGTATTAGTGCACGTATTATCACAATATGGTGGGAATTTTTCTACCATATAACACAAAGCCAATTTTGGAGGTCACCAGGACCAGATCATTTTTCGATGGTCATAAGATAATTTAGATTTCGTTCGTAATTAAGAAAACTAGGAATAAAAAATAAGTCTTGAGAATAATTTCTGGTAGTAGTGCAAGGTTATTTAAAAGGTCATGTCGGCGAGCGAAGATTATTCATTGAAGGACGGTGGTGATCTCAAAATCGTTTGAATTTTGAGAGGCATCCTTCTCAGTAGGCGTTTCCTCACCGGTTTGATCCAGAAAATACATGTGCTACTTTTTTGTGGACATAGCGATTTGTCCACTTAAAGTAATGTAATGATCCTCGTTTTTTTAACCAGCTCCAGGAGTAGATTGTGAAGATATGAAAAAGCGTGTCGATTCTCCAAACGATGGCATGTACTGGTTGGACCCGGATGGGGGAAGTCCTACAAATGCATTCCAGGCCTACTGTGACATGACGTCATACAGTGGAGGGTGGACCATGTGTTACACCACCGAACAGTATGTCACACCCAAAACCGAAGTCACGCATAACGCTCAGTTTCCTTATGGAAGTGACGGCTACAGAAACGACTGTAACAATATTCCGGTAAGTTGATCATGTGGCCTTTATTATTACTCCTCAGTGGTCTGGGAGGGGTTTGTAAATTTTTCTCCGCGATATAACTGCTCGGAGTATGCTCCAGGTTTGGTCTGCACAAAAATCCTTAAATTACGAGGTGACTTTTTTCAACAAACAATTTACTTGGCTGGTCTTTCCCCAGCTGCGGGTATCTACTGACTCACTACTCAATTTCTAATGGAGGAATTTTCACTGAGTGTCGAAAGTAATGCTGGATTGCATTGATTTTTCTTTATTTCGCTCTGTGATTGGTCAAAAAAACTCGCGCTAGTCTCTCGACCAATATATGCAAAACTAATTCTAATCACAGCTTAGTCGCCCGCGCTTCTCGCGCTCTAGGCGGTGATCTTGTTTTTACTTTGAGTTCTCAATGGTTCTTCAGGGTATTTTCCTTTCTTCTGATCGATCGTTATAATAACTTTGGTCTAGTTTTACGACTCTCAATGCACTCCACTCTGAATGATATTTTCTTTGTCATTAGTTTACAGAAATAATTTTTATCGATCATCAAAACGATAACAAGGCTTACTTCACCCGCCGTAGTCAAGGTGTTATAACGGCCGCTATGAGTTATGGGAACGATGCTGCTTCCTATGGATTGTGGGATGGCGTGGGAACCAGCAGTGCCTATTCCTACCAGTTGTTGATCTGCCATGGTCCTTACTTCCATGGCTTTATGATTTCCGGGTACGCTGGTAACAATTATAAAAGGTGTGGCAATTGGCGTTTAGATACTCGGTCACCGTATTTCCGTTCAGCGTCCACCAATAACAATTTTGGGGGTGTGGCCTTCAACGTCAATGGTTATGGAAAGCTTGCCTATAGGCTCATCAGTGTCGGCTTACGCTACGGAAGTTACTTCCACAATAGATTTGTTTCTTCTGAGTGATCTGTTTCTGAGTTACTATAAATATAGAGGCAAGACCGATACAAAGTAGATAGGTAAATTTTAAGACGGAGCACTATATTTTGGCTGGCCAAACCAGCCTTCTTCAGGTGCAGTGGGAATTAACAGAGAATTGGGGTGATGCTTCGTAGATAGCTGTATGTTGTAACAGCGGAAATATGTAAAACTAATTTGATTGACAATGAGATAACAATAAAAATAGAAATGAAGTAAGGTAAATTGGATAAATAACTAGAAATTAATACTTTTATCCAATTTACCTTACTTCATTTCTATTTTTGCTCACTATTTCTATTTTTATTGTTATCTCATTGTCAATCAAATTAGTTTTACATATTTCCGCTGTTACATCATACAGCT